AAGACTACGCTGGGTATATACCACTCCTTTGTCTCGCGGATTAGTAGACTTCGGCAAACCGAATACTATGGGCTTGAGTTCTCAAGAAAATTAAATTCCACCTGTTGGGCAATCCGGGAGGTATAAAGTTGGCAAAAGCATCATAGCCATCTATCGGACCGCATACTGTCTAATACCGAAACCTGAGGTATCGAGAAATATAATATACCTTATTGTGTGCTCAAAATCGAGAACAAGAACTATCTCCATGGATAAAAACCAACTGACCAGAAACAGGAGAAAGTCATCGAAAACCAAAGGATTGTACAACACATTGAACTGTAAATGTCCATTATCCAGTCGAAAACATTGCGACCGTATCACTTCTAGTCAACCATTGGGGAACTCATCCGGAAGTCATCTTCTTTTGTCCGATTCGGTTGCTCACTTGTTTGTGATACGAATTTCGTCAACATGAATTGATGAAATTTCAATGTGAATCAAGGAGAGAAAACACTAGAATATGGTAGTGGGGAAACACTTAATGAATAGCGTATCATGCAAAGTAACATGCGTCGGAAATGTTTGTGGTAACCGATAAAAAGCACTCGGCAGCTGTTACGTCCTGTTTGGGACTCGTACTTTGTCCCTGTCAGGACCCGAACTGTGAACATTTGGGTCATCAGTGCCCAGTGCCTGTGAAAAACCGAACGGACCAATCCAAACATTCACCATCCGGGCATGCGATAGGTTTAAACGTTCGCAACAAGATGGAGATGCGTCGTCTGCTTCTTATGTTTTGGATATCTTGTCGGTGTAATAAGAGTGATGGTGGCGCAATAGTTTTTCTCACTGTCACCGGCATGCCTTGAACCCCATGATTCGAGGTTCGAGCCCTGCCATCACCACCTAACCTCGGCGATAGACAGCTTTGCTTTCCTCCGGTTCCATATCACGCCTATCTTAGTAGGACCCTATCTGGTTTGCAACTTCAGGCCCTGCGGGGTTAAGGTTACCGGTTTACACCATTCGAAAGAGGTTCACCCCGTCTACTGTTTATCACTGTAAAATGTGTAACATAGAAAGCTTTTATATTTCTTCTTTATGCGAACCAGGTTTCCAATCAAATCACACTATTGCACCCACCTGAACGTCGGCTAATTTACTCCAGTTTGGGAATATGTAATAGCGCAATCCATCCACTGCACCTTCCAATGTCACAGCACGAATCAAAAGGATAAACATAAAAATGTAGGGACTGGTTGCCGTGACATACATGACCTGAAAGGGAAAAAGAGATTTTTCAAATCGATGATGGGTGAGGGAATCGATCAAAACAAAACAGCAGTTCCATGCCTCGTTTTCAACAAAAAAAAAACTTTGTCAACATCCTTGATCGATCGGTTCGGAGTGATTTTTAAAGAGTTTTGCTCTCTTCATCCACATTTTCCACCTATCTTTGCGATATTCCTTCTGTTTGTCCGGCACGTGTTTTGAAGATGATGTTGTCCTGTGCCAGCCCACTTATTCTTCCTCCGATCTGAGCACTATTCACCGAATCATTTATTTACTCAAAAGTATGGACTAAGCTTAAAACCCAGTTAATCTCTCGCATATTTATATTCGTTTTGCACATTCTTCATATCCGGCAGACCCCGCAGTGATAAATAACAATCCCCGGGGAAGTATCCAGATGTAACTATACATAACGATCTCAGTCCGGGAACCTTCATCCACAACTGCGTTGGCAAACTGCTGCATCTGGCAAGTCGAATTCGAAAGCTTAGGCAGTTTGTCGTAGTTAGGTCGTCCTACTGTTGCAAGCCAGTGTGTTTGCCCCAACTCGCCATTTATTTTCCCTGGCTTGCTTGACCAATATGTCAAAGTGTTACGCCGCGCTGTGATCATCATTACTTAATCGCTTTTCTTCAGGTTCTGTATACGAGTCAGTTGTGAGGCCCTCAGACTGTCAGGTGAGGTCAGGTCAGGTCACAGGACTAGCGGCTGATGCCAAACGAGTGTCCAGTTTCTTGCTCGACCGAGCTGCAGTGCGCTCGATGCGCTTCGACAGCGTCTGAATTTCTCGCTTCACATAGAGCGTTCTCTTCAGTACGATCCAAGAGGGGTCAATTGAATGTTTAACTGGAAAGGACTGGGATGAGAATGTAACATGAAAAAGACAGGTTCGAGTTGCCTTAGGCTACTCTCAAATACCTACATCCGTAATTGCGCGTCACTCTTTTCATAAGCCTCGACGTGCCTACATCTACAGCCACGAATACGTCCAAACATACACAAACAAACACACACATATCCATGCTTGCACCCATGCATGCAGTCATGTGCATACATTAACTTATACTGGTGAACAACACACAACCTCGTTTTCAGAGATTCGTATTCATGCTAATACATCTCAATATATATCACTACTTGGGTATAAAATTCAGTGCACGGAAAACTCTTTACAAAACACCGAGGTTAAGAAAAAATCCGTGCACATTTCTTTATCGCTCAAACGGGACACATCCGCCGAGAGCGGGGACTTTGAATTTGGCCGTGCCTTGTTATCGTGGAATATTATTTTCGTAAAGTTACAGTGGAGGAACGCGTTGACATCACTTTTGAATCAACTCGCTATATTCTCAAGGTCAAATGTCCTACAACNCCCATTCTGTGGGAAATCGATTCAAACGACTACAACAATCTGTTCAAGGACACCATAAAAAACACCGTGCTGGCTGGCGTGTGGGGCTCAGGCGTCGTTCTGTTGATAATTTGACCGTTCCATCTATTATCTCAAGTAACGTTCGTTCGCTCACGGGAAAACTCGATGATGTCAAGAGCATGATATACCAGAAGGAATGCAAGAATGTAGGGGCACTTCTACTCCAGGAAAGCTGGTTACATCCTGACATTGAGGACAACGTCCTGAATGTTGATGGATTTGACATATTCCGAGTTGATCGTAATGTGAGCTTCCCTCATAGAGGTGGTGGAGTGGTCACTTTCATCAACAGAAAATGGTGCAAAAACGCTCTTAAATGTTTTCAATTCAATACTCTCAAGATAAATTGTATTTTTGTTCATTGTAAGCCCCGATGTATTAGTCACTTTCATCATATTACATTAGCGAACATTTACATCGCTCCGACACGCCTGCCTCTGATATTCGTCTGTTTGTCGACTCTTTCTCGTCACAACTTGTAACCGATTTAGACCAGTCTTTATGCATTGCTGCTGGTGACTTTAATCGTTTTAATATCTCTTTCCTCACAACTTTAGGCTTGACGAATCTTGTAAATTTTCCAACCCGGCTTGGTGTCCAACTCGATGGGACTTTTGTAAATAGCCCAGAAATCTTTTTCATTGAGAAGCGGGCCCCCATAGGCAGCTCCGATCATTACTCTATTTTTTTCACCCTAAGATTCACGGTAAATATTTTCATCACCATATGAACCGTTCCACATCGAGAACCATCCGAAGGAGAAGTCGTACTCCTGAAAACTTATCCAAACTTAGAGATATGGTTTCATCTACCGACTTCAATGTCTTCTGCAATGCAGACAACTCTTCCAGTTGTGAGCATCTTACATGTTATCTTAATTTTTGCTATGATCTGTGTTGCCCAGTTGAGACCTCATATATTCGAAGTGACAGATTCTCTTCGCCTCTTCTAAAACGGCTTCGTCGTGATAAAAAAGGCTTACAGGACTGGAAGGCGCATTGCTGTCAAACATCTATCATTGATGATCAAAATAGAAATACAGCGCCTAAATCGGATATATATCGAAACTCTAATGGGAAACCAGAGCTGCCGCGTTATGTGGTCTGCTTTGAAGCAGCTCTGTGGATCACGCAACAGATCTTTTCCGGATGTTGAGGAGTTAAACCGTCAATTCGCAAATGCTACTGTACAGAACTCAACACCATCTTTAGTTACATCTACTGGGGAGAACCAATCTGTCACTCCTGTGGAAGTCCTGAATATACTTAAGTCCCTTAAATCTCACAAGGCACATGGCCCTGATTCGTTGTCCCCCTTCCTACTGAAAGAGTGTGCTGAACAACTTGCTTCATCTGTTTCTGAGCTGCTCAATTTGTGTATGTCGTCGGGTAGCATCCCTGATTGTTGGAGGGCTGCTCGGATAACCCCAATTCCCAATAAGGGATCTTCCAAATATCGACTGATTGCCTGTACATCAGGATTATTGAAAGTTTTTGAAAGAGTCCTTCTTAACCGGCTGACCCTTTCATCTGTCACTCATGAGCCAATTCAGTTTGCTTACAAACATTCGCCTTCCACTCTTGATGCTGTTGCTC